TGTACGGTGACCGATGGGGCTGGGTTGGGTGAGAGATAGCGTAGAAAGAGAGACGAGGGAGGGGGATGGGGGCGACAGAGAAGAGGGCGTAGAGGCAATAGAGGTTGGGGGGGCTTACAGCCGGTAGGGGCGGTCGCCGGCCGGAGGCTTGTGGCTGTTGGGGCTTGTGACCATTGGGGCTGGGAGCTTATGACTACCAAGTTAGAATAAACGTTTTCCGAAGTACTAGAGAAAAGAGGAAATATAATTGCCTAATTGGAGGCTGTTTTGGATTACCAAACTATTTCTTAGATGTTACAACATGACACCAATATCTGGAGTTCACTGCATTTAGGAGATTGGACTTATTTCTTTTCCATAGATATTTAGAATAAGTGCTACACTAAAGCTCAATCAGAATCTAATGATAGAGATGCAAATGAAATGTGTTTGATTTATCTGTCTCATGAATACTTGTTATTCTACAATATAAGAATTAAACACTATAAGTTGCCTTGGCACCAAAAGCAAAGGCTAAGATACATATATATGATCTTTCTGGAATAACTTATCTTGAGAGGGTGTATATAACTTCAATTGTCAAGATCATGGAAAGTTGGGTTAACTTCAAGTTGAGCTGCAAATTTCTCAAGGATATCCTTCAGGAAAACCAAGATTTCATCCTTATCTGATGCTGCATCGGTCTTTCCATTTTCTATATCACCTAATACAATGTCGTATAGAAGAATCACCACTTCATCATTCTTCAGAGGTGGCAAGCCCAATGATGCTCCATTTTTCTCGAGATAACACCGAATGGCATCTTTGTTACTTAGACTATCCTTCTCATCCTGCTTTTCCTGCATTATCTTCTCTACTGTCTCACTTAGTTGCTTTTCATCAGCCAAAACCTGAATCACATGACCAGTTGAGAAGATTAGAACAAACAGGCGGAAAGTTAGACAGATCCACTGGGATTACGGAAATACTCCAATTGAAAAGTCTGTGCCACTGGTAGTGCCCACTATTCAACCAAGCTGCTGAGAAATCCTGCTTAGCTCAGAAACTACAATTACTGCTTTTGTACATGTTTTTCTGTCCACGTTGACTTTTATAGAGACATGTAATTGTTGGAAAATTCAAACTTCTGCAAGATAGTATTCCATCCGTTTCAAAAAGAATGAAGAGATTTGGAATACAAGTATCAAACTGTTTAATTTTTACTCTCAATTCAGACATCAATTTCTTAATCTTATTCAAAATAAAATTTACATAATCAGAAAATAGATAAGAGGAACTTTAAGTTACAGCTTTTTATAATTAAAAATATATAAAATTGTAGTATATAGTCAAAGAAAATTCTGTTTGACTCACAAATGAAATAGTACTAGTGTCATATAAAGAGGAATGGAGGGAGTACTTTTTCTGTAGTTCTTCATCTGTTCTATAGTCTCGAAAATTGAGAAATCCAGACATAGATAGATTTGATGAAAGATTAACTTGACCACTGAAAATCAAATATGGGGAAAGAATTAAGAGTCATGGGTAAAGTTCAAATTAAAAGTCTAAACATACTTCTGTTTGAGGTTCACCCACAAGGCCACAAGGCTTAAATCCTTATAATGTATGTCTATTTTTTTTTTCTATTTGATAAGGATTCTTATGTCAAAATTTACGTTGGAAGTACATACCTTCATCCCAGTCACCAAGCTGTTCGAATATTAAAAATGCTAAAATGAGGAAGAAATATAAAGGAGATATGAAGTGCCATGTTAACAAAATGTGCATGGATCACAGTGAGTGCAACCTATGAGTTGTTTCCTTCAACACAGATCGAAGTACATAAAACTGGGGAAGTAGCTACCTTTCTTAATTTGGAACCATTATTGATCTTGATTTTCTGCACTACAACCACAGGGTTCTTAGCAAGAGCATCTGCCAGCTCCTGAAGCACAGGCTGAAGTAAATGTGCAAATTGGGCTTGCCCCAGTTCGTCCTCTCCTTCAGCTCCATGCCTCTTTAAAATGTCACTTAGTATAGGAAACTCTGCTCAATACCAAAGCTAGGACTTAGCACAGAAATAAACTGTCGATAATATTTGATTGAACTGCAAGCTACGACCAAGATTATAGATTCTGAATTAGAAAAACAATACAAGAAATGGTCCACTATACGATGATTCTGATAAACAAGACAATCATGAGGTAATCATAAGAGAATGTCCAGTGTAAGATGTGTGTGTGTATCATGAGATGATCATAATAAATTGTCCAGTAGAAAATCTATCTACTGTCTATCTATTTACTGCCTCAAGGTTCGTGTCAATCCTGTAGCCAAATTGGCCAACCAACAACACTTAGAGCTTCATCTTGACGAGACAAATACAGCATTCCAAATCGCACTCAGTTTCACTGTCAAATGTGCTGTTACTGCCACTAGCAGACACATAATTCCACATGCCAAAGCTTGTCTCTGTCACTACAACGTGTGAGCCACGTTAGCGACATAATAACTCTGTCAGATCGCCAACAAAAACGTAGGCTAGCCAGTGTGTCCAGTTCAGTCAGTCTACTTCCATGTGTCATTCTATCACAGAGATACATCCAGTCAACAAGTCCAGTCTTCATGTCAACATTATTATGTTAGTAATATTTTCCAGTAAGTCCTTAGGGTTTTTCAGCAATCAGATCTATTTATCTAGTTAAAATCTCCAAATTCCACACCTAAACACCAATAAAGAGCGAGAACTCCGTATTTCTAAAGTTGCTAGTGTGCAGATGCTGTGGAGCTCTGGCTCATAGTTGAGGTTATATTTTATAATGATCACCACTATATTAAGAATACGACATTCAAGAAGCCAAATAGAAGAGAAAGTTAATGCCCATTTGTGCAGTAGAACGGAAATTGAAAATTGCTATCAAATGCAGACCTGCTAGAGAACATGGAGCGCAACAAAGACATAACATAGCATTCAGTGGTACACTGGTACTACAGGCAATTGGTGTATTTGTGAAACTCAACCAGGGGATTCTGGGATGTCCACATGTACAGCGTGTTGAAAGAGAAAGAAAGCGGTTAAAGTCATGTCGTTCATCAAAAACAATGAAGAGTGGAAGTAACAAAGTGAAAGACTCTTTATGATTCCATGTCTTTTATCCATTCGACTATATTTTACCTGGCTGAAGAATCAGATTCTCGTTGAGTCTATCGTATCAAATTTTGGAGGATATCTATGTATATTTATTCTGTTTCCTCACAGCTAGCGTTGAACCCTGAGCTTCTTAATGTGAAGCCCTTTGTCCCGGCCTCCCAGCTGGCTAATAGAGGAATTTCTACGGCAAGGATTGAGAAGGATGAGGCCATTCTTAAGGAACCAACTTAGGTGTATCATGTCTGGTAAAATGAACATGACAGGGAGACATGCTGGGATCTACCGAACCTCAGTCTTGCAATGCTAATGTAGCCCAAAACGCACAATCCGGGATCAGACCATTCTGGTTTCTGGTACAGATTATGAGCTTTTGAACTTTAAGAGAGTAAAAAGAGTTTCCAACTACCTCTACTGCACGTACTGGTAACTAAATTACGTGCCTTAGTCGCTCATCAACTCTGCACCCTATAATGTCAAAGCGTTTACCTTCCATAAAAATAAAAAAGTTAAGGAGCACAAAGTCAAAGTGTAAATGTTAAGGGGTATCTGCTGCATTTTCTCCTAACAAATAATATTTGCAGAATTTTGCAAATGCAGAGAGGAAATAATATCAAATGATGTTACATAAGAAAAAAAAGGTTTTTGAGTAAAGCTTCATCATTTAAACACATTTAAAAGTATCCAGCGATGCAACAGAAAAACCAGCGTTTTGGTGCTCTTTATTCGGGAGAAGGGAAGGCTGGGAGCAAACCTGAAAGAGGAGGAATTCCCATTTCAACACCCATATGAATGAGAGCATCCCGTATTTGATTTCTTCTGATCTTTCCTCTATCTTCTGTGTCTAAATCAGTGAAAAGATTCTCAGCCAACATGGCAAAGTCGTCTTCATCTTCCAAAAACATACAAAGAGTTTTCCCATCCAAAATTGCAATGACTATAGGATCATCTGAACGTGCAAATACGAAATCAGTATGCTTTTCGTTTCATCTAATGAAACCGGTTCCCCGATCGAATGAACAGAAAGTCAAGCATTGCACTTAAATATCTAAACCAGCATAGAAGCAAACAAAAGACACCTATAGCATACACAGCCAATTTGAAACAACATGAAGTTCATGTAGTCATGGTTTGAGTATGTCTATTGTCCATCTTGCAATTGCAAGGCCATTAAATACATCATCTGCTTTTTCAAACTGCAACATTTAGTTCAATAACCGAAGTACTTAGTTCTTTTAACAGCTAATTGACTTACAGTCTCCAAAGACAGCAGCTTTATAAAAGTTCAAATACTTGAAAGTTTAGCTTATCTTTCATTCAGAGTTTAGGTAGTCCTAGCGCAAAGGAATGCACCAAAAACCAATTTCTAGAACATGTTTGCAAGACATGCCATCAATCTGTCTCAAGTAGTATTTGGAATATTGAAGCGAGAGTGTAACAAATTAGTCATTCTTACAGAAGCATCAATTATATTAGGATGCATCACACTGGAAGCTAGCTTGTAGCAGTGGGAGGCTGTTACTGCAAAAGAGTTGTGAAGTGAATGTTTTTAAAAGCATCTCCTAAACCTTCAAGTAACAAAATAACAACAGCACCATTTCCCTCATAATTATTAACTGGGGGCTTCAGTGAGACCATCAGCTCACCAATTCCGTATGTGAGAGAACTGAGAGCATTGAATCCTGTTTACAGCTTTTGTGCAGTATAAGAAACTGCAATTTTGAAAATGCCAAATGCATAACAAGTTCGAGAAGGTGAAAATGTAGCTTTTAAATTTTCATCACAACATGTAGATCACTATACCAGACATCAGTTATATTGATATAGCATTACCTATCAAAAAGACCTTTTTTAGATATGTCCATGAGGCAACCGTTCCAATTTTTTATTTTTTTTGATAAGTAAGAATTCTTAGATATTATTTGCTATGTGAAAGAATTAGTTTTTAATCTTACTGAGTTAAGGAAATTTATCAGCTTAAATAGATCAAGGAATTATTAGAGCAAAGATGACTAGTTCAAAATTTTCTCTTCAGTGTTCTAATTTATATCAATTACCAATAATTTCATGCTAGAATAATATATTAGTAAATACGTTAAACTAATACGTACGGCACAAATATTAGTACTTCTGAACAAGTCAAAACACTTACCTTGGAGTTCGTCTGCAATGGCAGCGACGTAATTTCGGAGAATGATCGAGGCATTTTCACGATCGAGCTGTTCACGGCGGAAATTAAGGTCATCGGCGACGCTGAGGCGTTTGAGAGCGGCGGACTTGAGAGTATCCGGCAATGAGAAGCCGAAGAGCGACTCTGAGACTTTGGATTCAGCGAAATCGAGAAGCTGAGCTCCGGTGACTGAGCTGCCGTCCGATGACGGTAACGATAGGCTGACGGCTCTCAGCTGTGATCCGTCCAAAACCGTTAATCCTCCGTCGGACATTTTGCTTTAGATGAGAAAGTACTTTGAGAAGTCTTGAATTGGCGGAGAGTAAAAGAAAAGAAAACACGTCAAGTAACGCACCTTTGTTTGAAAATTGAGGAAAAGGTAGTCTATTTATTTCCTTTTAATTGACTTTGAACGCTTTTCCTTATTTTTTGTTTCAACGGTTTTCTGCATACGTCTTAGTTTTGGCACAAAATCAACATTTTCTTTTAAACGGGTCTTATGCATTCAATATTTATGTTAAACTTATAAATATATTCTTGTTATAAAACAATAAAAGAAGAAGAAGAATATTGTAGAGAAAGAGAGAGTAATTCTTATTGAATTTTAGGATAAATTACAATAGAATAGAACTCTCTATTTATAGGGAAAATGTGACTTAGCCACCAAGTAACAAACCCTAAAATCTCTCTAAAATATAGGCATTCACCATAAATAAAATACTATTTATAACACTCCCCTTGAATGTCTATTCAACAGATAATGTGTCTCGTTAAAACTTTAACTAAAATTAAACCCAGTGGAAAAAAAATCTAGTGAAGGAAAAAGCGTACACATGTTTAGATTGGTTGCCTCGTTAAAAACCTTGCAATGAAAACCCAGTGGGACAAAACCTTGTAAGAAAAAAAGAGTACAACGCGTATTAACTCCCCTGATGAGAGCATCAATTCACATCTTTAAGTTTTTGCATTCTAATCTTGTGCACCATCTTCTTGAAGGTTGACGTCGGCAGAGATTTGGTGAATAAAATAGCCATATTAACTGCAATGAATATGTTGAACCTTGAAAATCCTCGCTATCACATTATCATGCTTGTCACACCTCCTTTTTCCGCCCCCGCGAGGGTACAAGGAGTTTTTCCAATTAAAGGACAATCGAAACGGGATTTGTTTATTTATTTCAGAGTCGCCACTTGGGAGATTTAGGGTGTCCCAAGTCACCAATTTAATCCCGAATCGAGGAAAAGAATGACTCTGTATTACAGTCCGCGAACCAGAAATCCGGATAAGGAATTCTGTTAACCCGGGAGAAGGTGTTAGGCATTCCCGAGTTCCGTGGTTCTAGCACGGTCGCTCAACTGTTATATTTGGCTTATTTTATCTGATTTTTAACAATTGAAAGCTTATATGCGAATTTTAACTCTTAACTGCTTTTATTATTTTTATTTTAAAAAATGTGAACATCGTTTAAAACATGTCTTTGGATTGCGCCACATGAAATGCACCCGTAATCCGGAACACATTTTATTCAATGTTTTGGGACTTGGATTTGGGTTACATGAAATGCACACCCGAATTTAAGGATGGTAAAATTATTAACACGCGCCTAAAAGAGCTTATCGCATTATTATTTTAGAAGAGACCGTGAAACTCGTTAAACGGTCTATCCTGAAATCTAAGTATTTTATAAAAACAATTATTGAGGGCCCCACGAATTGCGACTTATTTTTGGCGAGGCACATCTTATTTATTTTAAGGATATCCTAAAGTGACTACATTTCTATTAAAGTTGGTCTCTAAAATAAAAGAAAATAATCCTAGTTAATTACATGCTAAAGACGTAACATATTAATTGCTAGATTATGACCAATGTTATTGGAAGAGAAGATTACTAAAATTGAAATTATAAATAAAATATGACATCGACAAATAACATATTCAAAAGAAACTAACTAACCTATAGCTAGATTAAACTCGCATTGTTAGACGAATTGATTCATTGGGACTAAATGCTTTTCAACTATTTGAAACTAAACCCACCTTAATTACTGGTGCTTACAAAAGTTTGTTGAAGCTAACTCGTTAATTTGGATAACCTATCAGATTAAGGTTCTTATCCTTTCTACATTGAATCGTGCTTTGGATACGTCAAGCCTACAAATTCTACAAAATTAATGGCCTTTTATTTCTGCCTAAAACCAGCAGAACTAAACATATTCAAACACTTACCCCTTCAAACCAAACAAATCCCCCTTTTAAACAAACGAGCTGTCTGAACCAAACCTTAATACCTAATTCACACAATTAGTCCGATTTTATACCTTAACTACGTTTATCGGCAGGTTCATGATTAACTTGTTATTTCAGATCGATACTGCTCCAATTAGGATTACCTAAACTTGTTTAATTCCAACAACTCAATATACTTATTTCGAAATGAAATAGCATTCTAATTAACATACACTGGAGAACTATTAATAGTTTACAAATTACAGTTTATAATTAAAGCAAACTATTCTAGCCGAATATAAATTCCATCGTCCATATTCTTAATTTGAATTACAAAGATAGATTGTACATCTGCCTATCATGTGACTATTAGACATGCAAATATAATTTAACTACTTGACTACTTAGAACATTTCTTTTCACTATAACAGCCGCGTCACAATGATTCGAAAATGTACATGGTAGTAGAAACAGAAAAAGAAAGTGAAAATCAGCAGACCAGTAGCTATCAACAGTGACAATCAGCACCAGGCAGTATAACAACAATCAGTTAAACCCAGCTCAAACCAAGCTGAAAACCCCAGCAATACCAAAATGAAATACAAACAGATCCAAGGAAACAAGAGTTTCGGATTTTCAAATACTTCAAGAAAAACAGTCCGACAGCTCTTAGTGCAAAAATTCCAACTCAACACTCTAACTCTTAATGTAAAAGTTTTGATTCTTACTTTCTAATTTTTTTTTTCTCTCTCTCTTTTCCAGTATCTTTTTTTTTCAGATTTTTAGTCCAGTTTTCTCTTTCCCCTCAAATTTTCTCTATTTTTGCTCTCCGATTTCTGTCCAGATTCCCCCCTCTTTATACAAGTCTGCCCCCCTTTTTAAAACTCAGTGCTCGACCCCTTTTCTCTTTTTCAAATCTGAATTTTTTCTAAAATCTGATTTTTTGACTTTAAGTTCCACTAAGAAAGTTTTTCCTTATTAAAAGCCCCCCCATTTTCTTTTGTTCCCCGGTATTCTTTAAACAAATATATTAGTGAACCCTACCATTAGTTGTCTATTATCTTTACACAAACCCACTTAGGAATGTCTCAAATCAGTCCACTAACAGGTTTAAATATTCAGCAGCTCTTAAACAAGTATTCATGTAGTTTGTTTTCCCCAAACTAACCCTTAAACTACCCCCTATAAACTCTCAATAATACTGACCCTAATACAAAAATCAGAATCCAACCCAAAACAGATTTTACAATCTGTTCAAACTTAATTATCAACACTAGTTTCTGATTGAACAGCTATAACCAAATCAGATCGAGTAGCATCAGAATAGGGATCAATGAATCAGGAAATAACCATATTGAATTAACTAGAATAACAATTGGCATATATACAGGGAATAAACTAACACAAATCCTAAATACAGAACATTGTAAATACATTGAACGGAAATATATGCAGCAAGATGATGACTAATTAAGAGAAAAAGGATCAAACACCACACACATGAGACCACTCGGACACTAATATCAACAGGATGCCAAGTGACTCAAATTATATGAACGACCTATTCAATTAATTGATTACATATTACAATTGACACTTAAACAAATCAGTAACAAAGCAACTATCAAACAGTGCTATTGACGAACTTATAGACTAATAGGGAATTAATTAAGCGACGCAATTTAGGACTTGATTTCACAATTCATAACACATATAGTTAAGGCGACTATAAATAACAGACAGAATCGGACCAAATAAAAGGTCGTTTGAAAATGAATAGAGTCAATTTGACTAAAAGCAATCAAAATCATCACAGTAAATAAACAGATACGTAAATAATGAAAACAAACACGAAGGAAAGAAAGAAAATACCTCATAATAACAGAATTATACGGACCCAATCTTCGAAACTCTGATTCAGGCACTTTGAAATCAAACAAACCTTAGTCGAAGTATTCTCAACTGAAAATACTTCGATTAAGGTCGATTAGACCCCAACCTTCTATTCAATTTGGGCAGATTCCAAGATTTGGGATTTTAGGGTTCTTGAGGGTATGATTTAGGGCTCAGCCACTTCTAGTCAGATTTGAACCAAACCAAGTTTGGTTTGGTTACGAGTGAGGTTAGGAGAGTGATTGGTGTGAGTTTGGGGTACATTGGGGTAGGTTTAGGTCATGCTCGAATCTTCGATTGAAGATTCGAGACGCTGTAGGGTGATTCGAGGTGAACAACCAACAGATCTATAACGAGGGTGGTTAGGGGGTGCTGTGGTGTTAATTAGGGACTGGTTGGTTTGGATCTGAGTTTGGCTCAAATCTTCAAATGAAGATTCGAGAAACTCCAGGAAGATTCGAGCTAAGTGGTTACCAGATTTGGATAGAGGGTGGTCAGGTGGTCTTAGGGTGTTGGTTTGGTGACCGACAGCGTAGTTGCCGCCGGGTTTCAGGCGAGGGGGAGCTAGGGCGGCTAGGGTTTTGGGGGCATAGTCTTAGGGACGATGATGAACAGGAAAACAAAAGGGGTTTGGTTAGGGGGCTGGGGTGAGGGATTGAATTTATATAGGGGTGGGGTGGATGGATCCTGGCCGTTGGATCAATTGAGATCAATGGCCTGGATTAATTCATTTAAATAAACGGTGTCATTTGGTCTCTTTGAGAGACCGGGTTCACCGGGTAAAAGTGGACCGAGTTGTGGGATCGGGTTTGGTCAAAGCTCTGGGGGCCATTGGATCAGAAACAACGAACGACCCCGATCAAATTTAACCATACAACGTCGTATGGTTTATTATTGAAGTTAACTGACCGGGCACCATCAAACGGCGTAGTATTTGCCCTATACTACGTCGTTTGATGGTCTTTGGGTTGACAGACCTGGGCCGGGTAAATGCTTTATTTTGGGCCTGATGTTTTTTTTTTCAATTAAAATGGCCCAGTCCAATTTTCTTCCTATTTTTGTTCTTTTCTTCATTTTCACTAATTAATAAAATCAATTAAAAATTAATTAAAATGCTCAAATATTCCTAATAAGTATTATCACATAATATTAAACACTAATTAGAAGTAATCTCACACAATTAGACATTAAACGCCGAAGAAATTATATAAAAATATAAAAAATCCTAAATGTATTTTTGTATATATTTGTTATTATTATTTTTATATAAGCCCATGATTTCTAAAACGCCACATTAACTCCGAGCTGCATATGCACCTACATTACTATTTTTTGTATTTTTCCCTATTTAAAATAAAATAATCA